TTAATTAACTAATTTTGACTCAAAAATTCTAATAAATGAAAATATCAAATAATTGTCAAATTCGTCCTAAAAAATACATTTTTCCCTTATTAATATAATTAATTCAAATAGTGAATCAAAATTATTTTTTAATTAAGTGAAATTTTTTCAAAACTCATGTATGAATTGTACTTTGGGATTATTATTTCTTGGCCTTTCAGACTTTACAATTACAAGAATTCATAATTTATAGTGTTATTAGAATTAAATTTAAGAATATGGATGCTTATATCTAAAAGCTGATTAATAAAATAATAAATAATAGGTATTGATAGAGAATTCTATATTTATCAGAAACAATGGCAGTTAAGGTAGTGGCATATAGAATGAAAATCTTAAACTTTAAATACGATAATGTAAAATACTTGAAAATTATGCACTCAAAAATGGTGGAGGAATGCAATTAGATATCAAAAACAACTAATTCAAAATTTATGAATCTATCTTCNAAAGGAACATCATAGAACAGAATCAATAGAGTAAGCTATCCTTATTAAGCATATATTCGGAAAGGAAGTAGATAATTAAAATCTAGAATTTGTAATTCATTAATAATTTCTTCCATCAATATGAAGACGATCTTAATGAAAATTCTGCTGGTTTGATTTATATTCGTTCCACCTAAGGTGAAATACAAGCAGTTAATATATAATGTATAGAAAATGCTATAACAAACTCGTCAACCTCCTTTATATATATTATCTCAGAATCAATCTACCTTAATAACTATAGAATTAATGATCATAATATAATCATTTAAGAATTATGGAGTTAATTTTATAAATTAGAGATTGATTAGTAATATGATAAATATCAAATTAGTCAAATAATAGATTAGATATATCCAATAAATACTAAAGGAGGTGCTGCAAAAATAGTTACTGAATAATTTGTGTGTTCAAATTCAATTTTTCAAGATATTATGACTTCAACCAGTGCAATATTTGATATTCGAACCCAAGGGTTAGGTGTAATTAAATTGAACAATATTACTAGCAATCAAATATTTAACACAAAAAGAGAAACCAATGATAATTCTGGTTGTATTAATATAAATTCTTAAAGTAGTAAATTAGATTTACAGTTATTAAATTCTAATTTTATAAAAGTGCAAAACGGAATGAGTACAGCAATATTATCTGTCAAACCATCATAAAGAGAAACAAAAATATCATTTCAATAGATTTAGATAATAAATTGTTTCTCATTCTTAAACTAAATATTTTCAATTGAGTTTTCAACTTACAACGATTAAAAGAAGAATTCTCTATCAATTAATAATATGAACATTACCTTTGATGAAAATGAATGGATCAATTATTTATCGAAATTTGGAGAGCTAAGTCCAACTGAAATTGCATAAATCATTGATGATAATTCAATATTTAACATATTCGGAGGCTAAATCTACATAAATTCATTTTTTATTCAAGGTATAATCATTTCTCCTATATTAAAAATCCTAAATGCCTATAAATTAGAAATGAGAGATTGTCATATCAATGATGTAGAATCTTTCTATCCTTTATCACTTATTATTTTAAATTAACAATCTAATTTAACAATGATATTTTAAAAAATAGAAATTTAACGATTTTCGATATATCAATTAAACATGGAAAGGTATTAAATCGAAACAATACCACAATTTAGAGTAGTAGGGTGCTAGCTCTAATAATTGTCTTAATTAACTAATTTTGACTCAAAAATTCTAATAAATGAAAATATCAAATAATTGTCAAATTCGTCCTAAAAAATACATTTTTCCCTTATTAATATAATTAATTCAAATAGTGAATCAAAATTATTTTTTAATTAAGTGAAATTTTTTCAAAACTCATGTATGAATTGTACTTTGGGATTATTATTTCTTGGCCTTTCAGACTTTACAATTACAAGAATTCATAATTTATAGTGTTATTAGAATTAAATTTAAGAATATGGATGCTTATATCTAAAAGCTGATTAATAAAATAATAAATAATAGGTATTGATAGAGAATTCTATATTTATCAGAAACAATGGCAGTTAAGGTAGTGGCATATAGAATGAAAATCTTAAACTTTAAATACGATAATGTAAAATACTTGAAAATTATGCACTCAAAAATGGTGGAGGAATGCAATTAGATATCAAAAACAACTAATTCAAAATTTATGAATCTATCTTCTTGTTGAATAAGGCTAAAATTGGAGGTGGAATATACTTTCAATCATAAAGTAATTTAAATTAAGAAAATTTTGTAAATTCTATTTTGCTTTTTAACTAAGCAGAAATTTATGCAAATAATCTAGTTGAAGATCCAATCCATTTAAGCATTAGCATTAATCAAATGGAATTGCCATAGAAAAAATTATATTTGGAAAATAAAACATTTTAAGTTTTAGCAATAAAGCCCTATAAAATTATTGAATAAGGTTAAGTATTAAAGGCTGAAGAATTAATGATTCCCAGTAATTAAGAGATTAAGAATTATAAAATATATCATCCTAAATTCTCAACTTTTAAGAATTACATTTAAATTCTATCAATACATTTTAAAAATCGTTTTAATGAAAAATTGGAGAATTTAGATAATTCTTCCTGCTTAATAGAATCAACCATTAATTTTTAAAACAACAGCATGGCCTCTAGCGAAAGAACGATTTAAAATCTAGTGTATGATTAGGATGTTAAGGCTTTAGATTTAAGTTCACTTTCCTTTAGCTTTGATCCTTATTTTCAAGATAATAAACATTTATCAATATTATTAAGTTGCAAGGTTGAGAGTAGTAAATAAGCATTGTAATACTACATTTATGCTAAAACCTTTAAATGTTAACAAGGAGAATTTTATGTTGATAAAGGTTGTTAGCTCTGCTCATCCACTTAGGGATTCTATTCTGTAACATACAATTCAACGAAATGTTCAATATTTGATAAAGAAAAATTTGATAGCATCACATCTAATAAAATAAAACTTTTGGAAGGGTATTGGAGACCTAATTATCTTTCTGATTTTACAGAAAAATGCGCAAAAAATCCTAATTATTGTTCTGGTGGTTGGGATGTAGGAAACAATCTATGTGTTGAAGGCCATCTTGGAGGCTTATGTGAAGAATGTGATAATTTTGATATTCGAGGTTTTGGAATGTTTTATAAAAATGTTTAGAATGTGAAATGTTTTGGATGCTAGAGTATTTAGGATAGTGTTCTACCATTTGTATTGACTTCTACATGGTAAAATGGTATAAATATTTTATAGGGCTTTAATCTCAATTCTAATAACTTTAAGGAGTATTGAAAAATCAAATAAATTATTCTCATCTCTAAAGATTAGATAAAGATTTAGCAAAATCATTTTTAAGTTAGATTAAGGTAATTTAGAACAATTATTTTAGACCATGAAAGTATTCTAATCAAAATGTTATTGAACTATTTGTGGATATTTTCAGTCATTTTTACATTCAACACTAATTTTTCATTTTCTTTAAATTTTATTGAATTAACAAGCAATTCTTCATTTTATATGGCTAACAATTTAGATTGCTATTTATCATCACTGCAAAATTTGGAACTTATCTATATCAGAATAATTGCTATGTTAATTTTGATAGCCATATAGCTATTAATAATTTGGATTGGGTTCGCATGTTATGCTAAATGTAAAAATTGGACTTTTAACAAAAGCATCATTTCGAATACATTATTATATTTGTATGTATCAAATTATGCTGCTCTAATCAAACAGTAATTCATTAAATTATCGATTTTTAGGTTGTGTTCAATAGTTTCAAAGAGAGCAATTTCAACAATTTCTTACATTCAAGGAGATGTTTCTCTAATTTATGGAACTGACAATCACATATTTTGGATTATTATTTTAGGTATTCCTGGCCTTGGAGTATTTGGGGCATTAATCCCCTTTACTTTATTTTTTGTAATGTATATGAATAGGGAACAACTAGATAAAATTAAGTTAAGAAGACATATTTGTTATTTATTTAATGAATATAATTAAGAAAGCTATTATTGGGAATAAATTAAATTATCAAAAAAAACAATTATCATAATCATCTTGACATTTTTTGAAAGTGATGTATTGTTGATGGCTTCGCTGCTTGGACTATGTTTGCTTTTCTACTAATTATTAGCAGTAAATTAAAAGCCATATATCATATAAAGTTTGAACTTTTTAGATATTCAAACAGGATAAATTTGCTCTATATCTATATTTATTAGTGCAGTCAAATATGTTTCAGAAAAGGGAAATGTTGCAGCTTTATCAATTCTCCTTTAAATTTTTATCATTCTTTTATGCATGAGATTATGCTATCCATTTATTATCAATATTTTTAGAGTCTATTTTAAGAAATATAAGCTACCTTTCATTGAGTAAGTTTATAAAATTTTAAGATCAATAAAAGCTGATTGTTTTCTTAGTAGATATTTGAATAATCAATTAAGGAAATTGAATAATCGAGAGTATCGGAGAAAAACCAATTTTGCCAAATTAAGAAACCACTTAATATCATTATCAAAGTTGTAAATAGGACATTAAAAGTAATGAATATTTATAATTAGACAAATGGTTTCAATGATGAATTCATAATCAACCATAAGATATCGTTAGATAGTAACAATAACTGATGTTGAAATGAATAAGCTAACAAGTCCTTGAGTCCAAGGTTATTACTGTTTAACAATGATAGTATAAAAAAAAATCCACAAGGAAAATTTATAATAAATTATTTCGCCTTATTGGTTGTTTGGCTCCTTGCTTTGCTCAGCCATAAAATTAATATCATTCCTTTTGAAATCCTGTAATATGTTAAACGTAATTATAAATTCAGGTGCATTGTCCTTCTTTAAATCCTCTATGAACGATAATAAATTTTGTTCTTTGCATCAGCCATAAAATCATATCCAGNTTTTCATTTTCTTTAAATTTTATTGAATTAACAAGCAATTCTTCATTTTATATGGCTAACAATTTAGATTGCTATTTATCATCACTGCAAAATTTGGAACTTATCTATATCAGAATAATTGCTATGTTAATTTTGATAGCCATATAGCTATTAATAATTTGGATTGGGTTCGCATGTTATGCTAAATGTAAAAATTGGACTTTTAACAAAAGCATCATTTCGAATACATTATTATATTTGTATGTATCAAATTATGCTGCTCTAATCAAACAGTAATTCATTAAATTATCGATTTTTAGGTTGTGTTCAATAGTTTCAAAGAGAGCAATTTCAACAATTTCTTACATTCAAGGAGATGTTTCTCTAATTTATGGAACTGACAATCACATATTTTGGATTATTATTTTAGGTATTCCTGGCCTTGGAGTATTTGGGGCATTAATCCCCTTTACTTTATTTTTTGTAATGTATATGAATAGGGAACAACTAGATAAAATTAAGTTAAGAAGACATATTTGTTATTTATTTAATGAATATAATTAAGAAAGCTATTATTGGGAATAAATTAAATTATCAAAAAAAACAATTATCATAATCATCTTGACATTTTTTGAAAGTGATGTATTGTTGATGGCTTCGCTGCTTGGACTATGTTTGCTTTTCTACTAATTATTAGCAGTAAATTAAAAGCCATATATCATATAAAGTTTGAACTTTTTAGATATTCAAACAGGATAAATTTGCTCTATATCTATATTTATTAGTGCAGTCAAATATGTTTCAGAAAAGGGAAATGTTGCAGCTTTATCAATTCTCCTTTAAATTTTTATCATTCTTTTATGCATGAGATTATGCTATCCATTTATTATCAATATTTTTAGAGTCTATTTTAAGAAATATAAGCTACCTTTCATTGAGTAAGTTTATAAAATTTTAAGATCAATAAAAGCTGATTGTTTTCTTAGTAGATATTTGAATAATCAATTAAGGAAATTGAATAATCGAGAGTATCGGAGAAAAACCAATTTTGCCAAATTAAGAAACCACTTAATATCATTATCAAAGTTGTAAATAGGACATTAAAAGTAATGAATATTTATAATTAGACAAATGGTTTCAATGATGAATTCATAATCAACCATAAGATATCGTTAGATAGTAACAATAACTGATGTTGAAATGAATAAGCTAACAAGTCCTTGAGTCCAAGGTTATTACTGTTTAACAATGATAGTATAAAAAAAAATCCACAAGGAAAATTTATAATAAATTATTTCGCCTTATTGGTTGTTTGGCTCCTTGCTTTGCTCAGCCATAAAATTAATATCATTCCTTTTGAAATCCTGTAATATGTTAAACGTAATTATAAATTCAGGTGCATTGTCCTTCTTTAAATCCTCTATGAACGATAATAAATTTTGTTCTTTGCATCAGCCATAAAATCATATCCAGTAAAGTCTGAATTCAAACAAACTTATCATAATTTAAAAGACCTTGTAGCAAATCAACCATAAAATTCTATAATCTATATTTATTGTAATTATCTGATTGTTCTGAAATAAATAATTATAATTGCAATCAATTCTATTCAAAGTTATCTTCCAATTTTCAAATTTCTGCTCTTCTTACTTTCTCAGTTTTAAGTCATTTAATATTTCTAATATAGATCGTATTCATTCACTTTATTTCATCTTAAACTTCTTCTCCATTAAAAGGTAAAAATCAACAATAACATACTTCATTCTTTGCCTCTGTTAATTTCCCTAAAATAATTTGATTTTTCTAAATGTAAATAATTCTCAAAAGTAAATTTTATTATGGGGAATAAAAGGTTGACTTATTTCAAGCAATGATAGTATTTTTTTTGACCCAAAAAAAAACAAGTTATCTCAATTCTAGGGGATGCTTAATTAAGAAAATTTATTACAGTTAAGTTCAAGAAGATAAATTTTCTTTTAATTTCTTTAAAATTTAATATAACAATTTATATGATCTTTAATTAGTTGTTTGCAGTTAATATGTTAGGATGCAGACTTTTTAGATGTATTTCTAATATATTAAAAAATGAAATGTTCATAATTAACTCTTCCAAGGAATCTAGATTATTTTAATTTTTAATTGAATTCAAATCTCATTATTTATAAAAAAAACTATTTATTTATTAATGTTAGAGGAAAATTGTAATTTTCCTTTCACTTTGATCAATAAAAAATCTTAAGTATTTATTTAATGATGCAAATATAGATTATTTTTATTATGTTATAAATATGATCTAATGTAAACATCATCTTTTAATGGAGTTGATTTAATAATTTATTTAAATCTGGTTACAATTTTCACGCCATTCAGTAATTCTCAGTATTTCAAATTCAAATCGTATTTTGACTACTTTAAGTAATCGATTTTTCACACATACAATAACCATTAGCAATTGAAATATCAACGATCTTTCCATTATTATTTATCACCATATCTTTCTATTGATAATTTGCGGAAAATGTTAATTCTTTTTAAAATTATTAATTCTATAAAGTTTGTATTTCTGAATCCTTTTAGATAAAATTTGATGTCAACTGCATCTTAGAATAAGCGAATTTTTTCTATAGTTCGTTTGTTTGACATAATTTGAAGATATAAGCTTTAATTTCATCGATTTGACTATAAATTATATCGAAGAAAAAAGTAGATTGACGCTTTCAAGCTTAGTAATTTTATAAATCCCTCCAACTAGTGCATAATCAATTTCTAAGTAAACATATGCTATTTGAACTCATTTGAAAGTTGAAAATTGTATTTTGGACTTGTTAGAAAGTATTGTAAAATTTGATAATTCACAAACTTAAGTGATATTTTTTGATTTACTTAACTATTTTTCTACATCACTACTTATGCTTCCCAAAAAAGTTTCCAGCAACAAAATCTTTCAGAAAGAATAGAAGTGGAAGCTCTTCAAGAAATCTTTAATAGAGTAAATTTGAAAAGTGAGTGTTAAATCTTAAAGAAATTGCCATACTTCAAATTATTATATGTAAATTTTTAAAGATGAATTTATTTGTAGAGTGTTATTTGGGTGGCACTTTTAGACTTATAGCTTTATATTTTTTGATACAAACCCTTTCAATCCTATTTCGAGAAATTTTTAAACTTCAGTGTAAGAGATACTAAAATTAGACTTTTGACTTGTTCATTTAAAAGATTATGATATTCTTTAATCAGAATAGCTTCATTAGGATTCAATCGGTCTTTAACAGTTATTAACTGTTGATATTGGCAAATTGAAAATCCTTAATTTGGTGACCACTAGTTTTATATTTAAAATATTACTTTTACTTTATTTTCACTAGCAAACCTAAACCTTTAATTAAAATTAATAACAACATAGGAACAGTCATACTAAAAAGAATCTCTTTTTTTTAACTTTCAAAAAACTTGGTTGGATCATCACTCCTTTTTTGTTGTAATATTAAATTCTATTTCTGAAATTACTGTAAGGAGAGGTATTATGAGGAGATATTATACACTCAATGAATATTTTGACTACTAATTTTAAAGCAATACTCGAGCGTTTAAGTCAACGCCATCAAGCTCTGAATTGCTTATTAATTCTTAATTCTTTTAAACAATTTTAATTTTATATTTCTATCAATTTATTTTTATAATAATTTAAGCTTCGAAAGGAGAAATTAATTAGCCCACTTCTACTTGGCTTTTCATAAATGTTTGTTTGATAAAATTATTAGCAATCATCATTGCAGGTATGTCTGGACATGGTGTTTTAAGCATAAGGTCTAATTTTAAATTGAGATATACATTGACAAGATTGGAGGAATTTCTACTTGCAGTAAATATTACCTTTATTTTATCTGATAGAAAGAAAGATTTAAATATTAATTATCTTAAATACAATTTGAGTTCCAATAAAAAGGGGAAAAAAAGACAATAATATTATAAATTAAAAAGTTCTCCAATTCATTAATTATCAAATTAGAATTTAATTTATATATTGTATTATTTTATAAATAATTTTACAATTATTTTTTTTTATTAATATATTTTAAAAATTTCACGATTAAATTCTTTCTTACTTGATTGGTGGAAAGTTCCACTATAATTTTAGACGAGTTAATTATAAATCTGTAAAATATGATTTCAGTTTATGAAGCAAATTAATCTAAAGTCAAAAATTTAACACATGTTTCATCTCAATTTAAGTATCGTGGAAACTATTTGTCTTTCGCTCATTATGAAAATTAAGCGGTAACTTTACACTTTGAATATTGGAAGTAAGTAGTATTTGCAATATTTTGGTTATTTTTTAAACTATGTTTATTGCATCTCAAAGCATTAGATATTCATGAGTTTTACTAATTTTTTCTCGGACTTTATTCATATATTGCTTAATGATGCAACCACCCATCAATCATGATATACTATATATTTCTTCTAACATTTTCTATTAATATGGGTTATTTGTTTAAGACTTTAAATTAATCTTCAAAAATATTTCTTTCATTAATTAATAATGATAATTCATTTAAGGATGCTAAGTAAATAATTATATATATATTCTAATATCTGGTATTACTCTGTAAGGCGGAGACTGCTGCATAAGTCACATCGAAATGAGTTATAATATTCAGTAAAACAAAGCAGTCTAAATTGATAAATGAAGACCAATACTCCATCATTAACAATTAAGATATAACAGGAGCTTAGATCTAAGAGAATCTTTAAATATCACATATTTCTATGAAATTTAATCCGCAACTGCAAACTCGATAACAGCAAAATTCCAGATATCTTGAACCTATTTATGTAGACTTTGCAAAAATAGATTGTGGCTCTAATGTTCCTTGCGTTCTTTGATATTACTTCTACATGACGCTAACACTTCCTAAATGTACTTAATGCATATTAAATTTGTGATAAACTTTGAATATTTTGTAGACTGCAATAGCATGCCATAATATTAAAGTTTGAAGCATGCAAATGTTTTATTGTTTCATGCATAAATTTAATTTTTATTCTTAGAATTTTGCAACTTATCTTTTCTTTCATAATATTATTTTCCACTAATGCTATACAGTATGTCTTCTGAATTAGAGAGCAATTTAGTTGGGTATTGAATTGGTTTTTAAACCTATCAATAATTTTTCGAGTTAGAAATATCTAAGTGATATTGTTATGAAGATTGCCTTTTGTAGTTAAGACAGAGCAACACTTCTTTAGAGTATTGATTAATTCTGCTATCATAACCATCGTTAACTACAGAAAGTAGAAATACAAAAGGTGTAAAACTTTTAACAGAACAAGCTACAATTGTGGGAATATAATTTTTGCTAAGTATAAGCAACACTATATTGGAATCAGTAACAGCAGCACATGAATTAGAAGTATAATAACAACTATTACACTCAAGTAGAGTTATCTAATATATAGGAGTGTTAAACTATAACTCAATATTATGTTTGAACGCAGAATGAAAAACTTTTAAAGTTTCATATGATATTATCGTTTATAAAACGACAAAAAGGATATAGTTTGCTTCCATTACTTTTTATTACGAAAATTTTTAACAAATATTATGTGAAGAATCAATATATTATATTACATCTTTGTAGAATTTATAATCTTAAAAAAGGAGTTGGGCTCTAATCGTATGATAGACTCAAAAAAAACAAGATAATAGTATTCTAGTAAGATAATTGCATTTATCTTTATAGATTCTAAGGTTAAGCCTTCCAAGAAATAATAACAAATTCAATCCTTTGAATATAAAAGAAAATAAAATGTAAAAAAAAATCAGGGAAAATGAAAAGCATTAATCATATCTAGTATGAGGACATCTCTTAAAGGAGATATCACATGTCCATGATTTGTCTCTATCAGTGTAACCATCAGCACATAATGTAGCAGCAGTTAAATTTCCAGTATTATTTTTAGAAGAAATTGTTCCAATTATATTAATATAGTTCTTCAATGTACAAGGAAAATCTTTTCTTATTAACTTAAGAATTATTTAATAATTTTTTGATAAGGGGACTAATCCAGATTGAACCTCTTTATTAGATAAATTAGAGAAAAAGATTAAAATAATTTAGAGGAGCATTTTTACCAATAAAAGGCTAAGAATTAGATGCATATTGATCAAAATCGACTAAAAATTTGAAAGGTAATCTTAACAAATAAAGTAATAATTGGTTTGCCTCAATAACTTTCTAATTGAAGTGTTAGAAGGAAATGAATACTTCTAAAAGTATAATATCTATAACAAAGATAACCATTACTCAGTACTTGTTAAAAGACAATAAAACAATAATAAATATTAGAGAAAAAAACTAATATTAAAATAATTAATAAAAAACAACAATTTTTTCATAAATATAACATAGTTAACCTTTACAGTATAAACGACTTGAGAAGAAATAAAATTTTTAGCATTAATTTAAAAAATAACATTATGGAAACAATAACAATCGTAATAAATGACACAATAAATGGACAGATCCAACAACACTATAATTCTAACCAATATTACAATTATTAACAAAACAGAGAATAATATAATTATCCATAAACGAAATCCTAAAGATTCTTAGTTGAAGAAAATGTTGGATTGAATCAATGTTTTCGAAACATGAATTATAGAAATCATTATGATAGAAGAAACTAAAGATAGATAGGCAGAATAAATAATCTTAATGCAAACTGTTAAAGATATGAATAATCAAATCATATATGAATGAAGTGATGGACAGCTACAAAAGAAAGAGGAATAAGAAATGGTGAACTTAGATCCTCTATTAATTATAAATCCTTACCGACTATCATAATGGAATATTAACTCTATGAAGAAGAATACATTATAACTTTGTAAACTAAATAACCAACATATATTTTGCGTTTAATAAATAAGAAATTATTAATTTGGAAATTATAATTTTTTTTTGTAGTTTATTGTCCTTCTATAGATCAGGAGGAGTTGTCATTGGAATTCATAAGTGTTTTGACTCTACTGAAATGAAAAATAAGCGTAAACCTCCAGTTTAAAAAATGCGATTATACTAGTTTCAATATAAGAAATTAGCGATTTAGTCAGAATTACCTACATAAATACATGAGGAGCAAAATAAAATACATAAAAGAGTCTTCCAAAAGACTGGATGGCATGTTAGTAAGAAAAATAATGTAAATTGGTAAAAGTATTAATCACTTAAGTATAAAATTTTATTTTAATCTTTTGTTATGCATCCAATTAGTTTATTAAGACTTAGAGACAGGATTCTTATTGGAGTTTATTCTTAGCCTATTTTTTTTCCTTTTATGTAAAGTTTTTTCAACTATTATTTGCAGAGAGCTAGCTGATGTTTTCTAAAAAAAGTTGAAGAAGTAATTAAAATACAAAACTAACATCTTCATTTTAGATCTAAAACGATACNGAAAGGTAATCTTAACAAATAAAGTAATAATTGGTTTGCCTCAATAACTTTCTAATTGAAGTGTTAGAAGGAAATGAATACTTCTAAAAGTATAATATCTATAACAAAGATAACCATTACTCAGTACTTGTTAAAAGACAATAAAACAATAATAAATATTAGAGAAAAAAACTAATATTAAAATAATTAATAAAAAACAACAATTTTTTCATAAATATAACATAGTTAACCTTTACAGTATAAACGACTTGAGAAGAAATAAAATTTTTAGCATTAATTTAAAAAATAACATTATGGAAACAATAACAATCGTAATAAATGACACAATAAATGGACAGATCCAACAACACTATAATTCTAACCAATATTACAATTATTAACAAAACAGAGAATAATATAATTATCCATAAACGAAATCCTAAAGATTCTTAGTTGAAGAAAATGTTGGATTGAATCAATGTTTTCGAAACATGAATTATAGAAATCATTATGATAGAAGAAACTAAAGATAGATAGGCAGAATAAATAATCTTAATGCAAACTGTTAAAGATATGAATAATCAAATCATATATGAATGAAGTGATGGACAGCTACAAAAGAAAGAGGAATAAGAAATGGTGAACTTAGATCCTCTATTAATTATAAATCCTTACCGACTATCATAATGGAATATTAACTCTATGAAGAAGAATACATTATAACTTTGTAAACTAAATAACCAACATATATTTTGCGTTTAATAAATAAGAAATTATTAATTTGGAAATTATAATTTTTTTTTGTAGTTTATTGTCCTTCTATAGATCAGGAGGAGTTGTCATTGGAATTCATAAGTGTTTTGACTCTACTGAAATGAAAAATAAGCGTAAACCTCCAGTTTAAAAAATGCGATTATACTAGTTTCAATATAAGAAATTAGCGATTTAGTCAGAATTACCTACATAAATACATGAGGAGCAAAATAAAATACATAAAAGAGTCTTCCAAAAGACTGGATGGCATGTTAGTAAGAAAAATAATGTAAATTGGTAAAAGTATTAATCACTTAAGTATAAAATTTTATTTTAATCTTTTGTTATGCATCCAATTAGTTTATTAAGACTTAGAGACAGGATTCTTATTGGAGTTTATTCTTAGCCTATTTTTTTTCCTTTTATGTAAAGTTTTTTCAACTATTATTTGCAGAGAGCTAGCTGATGTTTTCTAAAAAAAGTTGAAGAAGTAATTAAAATACAAAACTAACATCTTCATTTTAGATCTAAAACGATACTATTCAAATGAAGGTGGTCTAATTATACAATTAGAAGCTTTCAGGTGTTATTTCCTGAACGCTTAGCATATTTCATAAGATTAATTTGCCTTTAGAGTACTTGTAACTTTAGGGATAATATAGCTTCATTTTTTAATTAAGCAAATTAACTAATGGTTATCTACATATAGATTCCAAATTGTTTTTCAAAATCAAAATAATAAAATAAACAAATTTTGCTTTAAAGTACAAAGACGCATATTACAATTTTAGAGGATAACAAATACGTACATTAATGAAATGAAATAGAGGAGGATTATAATTAGAACGTTTTTTCATGTATATTTCAAGCGCCAAGTGTGATATAGAACGCAAAAAGGAAATTCCAATTCTCTTTTTCGGAATTAATTTCATCACTTGTTGCCTTTAATTTGAGTTGAATCTAAATTAAACAAAAATAACAGTTGGGCTATGAGAAATAAAATTGGAATAAAAGTGGTTCTAAATAAATTTTGATTGTTGAATAATAACGTTCGTAGGATGCTAGCTTTATAACCAAGTTATATTATGGAAATCTGCCTGCACTTCCCATTTTCTAGAGTATATGTATCAGGGTTTTTAAATTCATTCAAGTATAAAAGGTTTCAAACTAAAAAAATCCTTGTATCATTGAGATAAAATGGTACATCATATTGAAATCCTAGTATTTCTGCTTTAATCACAAAATAAAAGTTGCAGCTTATTATGAATAGATATGTTTAATTGTTAATTTTCATAATATAATACAATAATATTTTCCTTGTGCTTTTATTCTATATATATGATAATTTAAGTAAAGCACACTTTATATGACCTCTCAAAGAGATAATTATAATAAACTTAAAAATTTAGAAATTGGGTTTCTACCAAACAAAACTTCCTATCAAACTAGACATAAGTTCAGATAATTATATTAATTTAATATTCTTTAATGGGAAACTCTAGAATCAAATACAAAAAAGAATAATAGTAAATTTTGGAATCAGAAAATGATTTGCATTTGGTTTTATCCCCATTAGGAGATTTAGATGAACAAGTTTTCGATGTAATTTTTTTATTTTTAAAATAACAAAAAATTTAAGACTGCCTAGAATTTCTTTCAATAGAAGTAAATCTAAGAAATCACAAATAACAGATATTCCAGCTATAACACTTTTCTCAGATGTAGGAAGAGCAGAAAGTATTTGAACATAATAATATTACGAAACTTTCTAATATTATAAAATAAATTATTGATCATGACTTCAACAGAAACAATTATTCCACACCCACCTACAGAAAAATTAGAGAAAATTTAATTACAAAAATATCCTAAGATAAAAAAATAATCCAATTTTTTTTATTCTTAGTAAACCTTACATCCATAGATCATAGATTTATCTAAAGCGGATCAAACTCATTGAATTTATTAGTGGAAATGAAGGTTGACTTGACAAATCAAAATTTTTAAAAAATTAGGATAAAGGATTCTTCTTTAATTGGAGCAAATTTTTTCAAATGCGATTTGAGTGACTCTGAATTTGATAATGTCATCATTAGTGGAATGAATTTAAACAAAGCTAAATTATTTAATTGTAAATGGAAGAATTTAAGAATAAATGAAGTTATGTAATTAAATTCCCATGAAGGTAGAATCAATTCAGTCAACTTTTCTTCAGATGGTAAATCACTAGCTTCTAGTAGTGACTATTGTATTCGTTTTTGGGATGTGAAAACAGGAAAAATAAAGTTTGTATCAAAAGGAGGAGGCAACACAAAATCAGTTTGTTTATCCCCTAATTGTGCTACTTTTGCTTAATGCTGTGGCAAATTAGTGTATCTAAGGAACTTTAAAACAGGGAAATAAATATCCAAATTAATTTGTCATACTAAAAATGTAAATAAAATTTGTTACTCATTTGATGGTTTTACATTAGCATCATGTAGTGATGATAATTCGTTTCATTTATGGGATGTTAAGGCAAGGTAATAATAAGCCTAAATAGATGGTCATAGTAATACGATTCGATCACTCTGTTTTTCACCTGTTTGTAGTACTTTAGCATCTGGTAGTTATGATTAGTCTATTTGTTTATGGGATGTGAAAACGGGATAATAAAAAGCAAAATTAAATGGTCACACTGGGGGAATTTTATCAGTTTGTTTCTCTCCTGATGGCCTGATATTAGCATCTGGTAGTTTATTTGACTCTATCCGTTTATGGGATGTTAAGACAGGAAAATAAAAAGCAAAATTAAATAGTCAGACTAGCAATGCCTTTTCAGTTTGTTTCTCTCCTGATGGTACTATTTTAGCATTTACTCGAGATGATAAATCTATCCGATTATGGGATTTTAAGACAGGATAATAAAATACTAAATTCGAAGGTCATACCTATGTTTTTTCAATCTGTTTCTCTCCTGATGGTTATATTTTAGCATCTTGTAGTGATGACAACTTTATACGTTTATGGGATGTTAATGCAGTATAATAAAAAGCTTAAATAGATGGTCATAGTAATAGTGTGCGATCAGTCTGTTTCTCTCCTGATACTACTTAATTAGCATCCGCAAGTGCAGATAACTCCATTCGTTTATGGAACACCAAAACAGGATAGTAAAAAGCAAAATTAGATTATAGTAACAATTGGGTAAATACTGTATGCTTCTCTCCTGATTGTACTACATTAGCTTTTAGTAGTGGTTAATAATTTGGAACGGATAGCTCTATTCATATATGGAATGTTAAGACAGGATAATAGAGAGCAAAATTAAATTGTCATACAAATTGGATAAATTCACTCTGTTTCTCTCCTGATGGTGCAACATTAGCATCTGGTAGCGGTTAATAATTTGGTGATGATAACTCTATTCGTTTATGGGATTTTAAATTAGAATAATAAAAAGGTAAATTAGATGGTCACACAAGCGGAATTTTATCAGTCTGTTTTTCTCCTGATGGCGTTACATTAGCATCTGGTAGTTATGATAACTCCATCCGTTTATGGGATGTTAAGAAAGGGCTACAAATAGCCAAATTTGATGGTCATACAAGTCGTGTTAATTCAGTCCATTTTTCTCTTGATAGTACAACATTAGCATCTGGTAGTGGTTAATAATTTGGTGATGATAACTCTATTCGTTTATGGGATTTAAAAAATGGATAATAAAAAGGTAAATTAGATGGCCACACAAGCGGAATTTTATCAGTCTGTTTTTCTCCTGATGGCGTTACATTAGCATCTGGTAGTTATGATAACTCCATCCGTTTATGGGATGTTAAGAAAGGGCTACAAATAGCCAAATTAGATGGTCATACTAATGAAATTCTATCAGTCTGTTTTTCTTCTAATGGCAATACTTTAGCATCTGGCAGTTCTGATAAGTCTATCCGTTTGTGGGATTTCGATACAGGATAAGAGAAAGGCAATCTAGAAGGTCAGGTTGATAGTTCTGTTTTTTCACTCCCTTTTTCTGCGGATACTACAGAATCAACATTTAGTAATGATAAATCGATCTGGTTAAAGAATGTAAAAACAGGAAAAAATGTGTTATCATCAAATAATGGTAAGAAAGATTTGCAGACATAATCTAAACTCTCGATTTTTAAAAGCAAAGTTGATTTAGAAGGTGTCACTTTTCTTCTGATTTCGCAATAGTTAATATTTTAATCATAGGGTGCTTTAATCTTGAAAGGAGAATTTGTAAATTTTTAAGGGATAAACTTACATACATTATTTATTTAAAGAGGAGGTTGCTTTCTGGAAAGTAATTTAGCATTTTAAAAATAGAAAAATTGATTATTTCTTAATATTATAATAATTCATTATCATTTTTCAATTCTTAATTTTTTTTGAACATTATAACTATGTAAAAGAAAATTAAAGCCTAATAATTTGTTTTGCTTATGATAAAATGAGGAGGTTCATTTTTTGCTATTATTTATATTTTTTAGTACATTCAATAGTAATGCGCAATTTAAGTTCCAGCCTTATTATTTCTATATGTTGATAATAATAAACCTAGCTATATACCCACCCAATCAGACATGATATCTTAATGAGTAATTATTATTACCCTTAAATTTATTACTCTATTAATATCCTATACTTCTAATTTGATACTCTCTACTACGCACCTATTGAAGCTGGTCAAATTACCTCAATGAAGTTTTAAAATCATAAATTGTTTTTGAGAGGTCTTATTGAAGTTTATTCAGATCCAAACTTTAACTGTTTTTCTACCTTGTTCATCTGCAGAAAATAGTGTGGTATTTTTTCAATGTTTTAATATGATAATTTTTACTTATTAAATTGTTTCGTAAAAATTATTCTAATTAATCTACCTGATAGCTCTGGATCTTTTATTTCACTATTTTTTTATCGATTTTCCTAAAGATATTTCCATTCAAATTTAGGTATGCTTATTGAAAAATTTAAAATATTTTTTTTGTTAAGAAAATATAAAAATGCTATTAAATTCTAAGGAAAATAAAATGGGATTACAAGATCATTCAACTCTGCTTCCTTTTCCATATTTTGTCTAGATAGAATTTTGTTATTTTCTTATATGTATTAAGACTTATTCTGATATTTTAAATTCCTTACTCCATTGGGTTTCATTTTGGATATTTGAATTCTGTTTAATTTGCCAATATTAAGGATATGATTC